GAATGGCCATCTGCCAAGGCCGACTCGGGTTAAAGGAGATAGAACAAGACATACAAAAAGAAGCAGAGATACAAAAGGCACCTGTAAGCCAGAGAAGTCAGAGAAACAGGACTACACTGAAAACGAGGATGATCTCCAACATCTATGAACAAAGGTGTTGATGGCAGAGGCACAGCTGATATTTCTCTCCAGGATGGTGTCACAGCCAAACAGGAACAGACCAGATGAAGCTACTATGAAAAAAAGTGGAGAGAGCATAACGTTAGAGATTGAACTCACAAATACTGCAGAATGGGAAAATGGGGATAGAATGAAACATTCTAAGCTTATAGCAGCATAACCATAGAGATAGCGTAGGATAACCTGAACCACTCTTACTATAAGCTTTATCAAAAAGGAAAGTTTTAAGCCTAGCCTTAAAAGTAGACAGGGTGTCTGCCTCACAGATTAAAACTGGTAGCTGGTTCCACAGCTTTATATCACAATGTCACTAGTTGACTATGAGCCCATCAGAGTGTTGGATGGATGCTTAGAACAAATCCATATGTGGATGCACCTTAACTGTCTCCAACTGAATTATAAATATAACTAGGGTAATAATTTGACCAAAGGAGGAGAGATCCATGGTTAGCTCACAGCTTCAGCTACTACAGCTAGAAACTACTGATTATGGCTGAAATCTTCGTGTCATGATGAACTCAGATCTGAACATTCAGAGGCACATAAAGGCAGTTACCAGGTTAGCTTTTTATCACCTAAAGAATATTTCCAAAACTAAAAGACTAATGCAGGATCTTTTGCAGAAATGATAACTGCAACAGTGTCTTCATAGGTTTGCCTAACAAGTCCATCAGACGACTTCCGGTAATAGCAGCGAGCTAGACAGAAGCAGCTTTTTAGTATCTATACTAATAAATCCTACTCCCCTAAAATTCATACAGCGAACTTAAAAGAACACACAGATTTCCAAAAGCAAGGTTAACCATGTTGGGCACAAGAAAGGTCAAAACTAAACCTGACAATCGACCAAACAAGCCGACAAAAATGTTACCAAGCGGCAAACTTCACACTAGCTACGAACTAGCAGCCTCTTTAGTGGGGTATAGCAAGAAGATGGACGCAACAGTATGGGCCGAAGGGATACCAAAAATAAAGATGGTGTATTTAGAGGCCATCGCATATCTCAAGACTGAAAGTTTAGCACGTCACAGGGAAGTTATTGATGGCATACCCCACATTAGATCAGATTTGGATGCTATGAAAAGCCGGATGACCACAGCTGAACAATGCATCGGAGACAAAGTGGACGTAACAGCACAGCTAACGGTATGGCTTATGGAAAAGAATTACAACCTGGAGAATTGCTCACACTGTTCTAATGTTCGCATAATTGGTCTGGAAGAAAAGGCGGAGGGTGCTGAATTCTTTCTGGAGAAAGGGCTCACCAAAGTCCTGGGACCTGAGAACTTCCCCTATCCGCTACGGATCGAGCAAGCTCAACGCATCACAGTTACTCCACCTGCCAACACTTCAGGCAAGCAGAAGCAGAGGCCAACAACTGAACTTCAAACCTTTCTCAGACTTTAATGCCGATATGCAACACCAGCGGAATGCCTATTATGTGGTAAAACAGACTCTATACTCCAAGGGAATAGAGTATGGTCTTCAGTACCCTGCCAAGCTCCATGTGACATACAAGGGCAAAGACACCGTCTTCCAGATGCAGTGGAGACTTTTTTTTCACAGCATTGACGATGAATGTATTTCTGAGTCAAAGTGATGTATTGCTATATGTAAAACTGCAATAGACATGCAACAGAATTGCTTACTTATTCTTCAGTACACAGGCCTGACTTGATTTGAAAGGTGTTTAGTCTACATGTCATGTTTGGGTTTAATCTTCTGACCCACATGCAGAATCAACTCAGTTAAGAAAGGAAAAATGATTTATTGACCAAACAATGAGAAACAGTATAATTTCCTTCAGGAGTGTGAATGGTGGCATCTGGAATGAGAAAGGAATTAGTTGTGGCCAGAAACCTTTGATAGGGAATTTGACGAAACCGAGCTTACTTCTGAAAACTTTGAGGGCCATCTTCCCGTGGATGGAAGATGGTCTAGGTCCCATGTGGGGAGGTTGATTGTTTACCTCTGATAGTGCGAGATGGAATTACAGAGTTCTGATGGAGCCGGGTTGGAAATGATTGCAGATGGAGCGGGCAGGCAGGTAACTTGCTGGTAAATCCACTGGAAGGTTAGTCGGTGAACTGAATCCTCTAAAACCAAGTGTGAGAAAAAACTAGAGACAACAAGGACAGGGATTGAGCAACTTCAGGCAAGTTCACAGGAGATAATCAAACTACTAGAAAAGGGTTCAACAAGAGATGGCCAGAAAGACTACTGGTAAATGTTAATCATCCAGCACTGAGTGAAGGCTTTGCTGCACTTTTGATCCCAGGACTCTGATGAACCTGACAAGTTCCACCTTTATAGGCAGCCCAGGTACTTCACCAAGATCCTCTCAGGAGAAGACGCATTACTCGCACTCAAACACACACACACACACGGTAACCCTGACACTACAAGTAGGAAAAGAAAAATGGCTAATTTAATTAGGCCTAATATTCTGTTGTCTCTCACCTTAAAGGGTGTTGCTTACTAAATGAGTCATCATGCTTGCACTTGTTACCTATTTGCTTTCAGAACCATTTAAAGATTAACCTTACACATGTTATTGGCTATACCCTATTCTAAAATGTTAATTTTGACCTAACAAAAAGGGGGAGTATTATTACTGCTTTTATTTGAAGACACAGAGACTAAGGGTGGTTCTAGCAAAATGTTTTTGGTGTGGTTCCTGTGTAGGTTTTCATTATTTCATGTATAAAGTAATTTTACTTATTCTTATTGTCATTGTTTTTGTTTCAAGGGAGACAAAACATGGAAAAAACATACACACACAGGAATCCTGACAGTTACCCCCCTCAACAACCGCCACCCGGCGGTCCAGAGGAACCGGAGGGCTGAGAGAGGCGGAAGTCCCTTTATGAGGGAGGGGTCTAGGATATACGATCCCGGGACCCAAGAGCGATCCTCGGGACCGTAACCCTCCCAATCGACTAAATATTGCCACCCTCGCCCACGGGGGCGAGCATCAATGATGCGCCGAACCGTGTATGCGGGGTGGCCATCAATGTCCAAAGGGGGAGGGGGCTCAGCGGGTGGGCACAATGGTCTAGTAGAGATGGGCTTGACCTGGGAGATATGGAATTTAGGCTGTATGCGCAAGGAGGGGGGTAGACGGAGACGGACAGCAGACTCCTCGATGGTCCTCTCAACTTCATAGGGTCCAATAAATTTTGGAGATAGTTTGCGTGACATCGCCTTGAGGGGGATGTCACGGGTGAAAAGCCACACCTTCTGGCCCGGGCGATAGGAAGGGGCAACCCTCCTCCTGCGGTTGGCCCACCTCTGATTCTGCTGGAAGGTCCTTCCCAGGGCTGTCCTGGCCCGGTTCCAGAAGGTCTGGCAGTGGCGGATGTGTTGCTGGACGGAGGGTACAGTGATTTCTGCCTCTTCAGATGGGAAGAGGGGTGGCTGGTAACCTATAGAAGCCTCAAAAGGAGATAGACCAGTGGCAGAGGAAACGCTTGAATTGTGTGCATACTCAACCCATTGAAGGAGCTGACTCCAGTTAGTCGGATCAGATTCAGTAATGCATCTGAGGCTGGCTTCCAACTCCTGATTCATTCGCTCAACTTTTCCATTGGATTGGTGGTGGTAACCGGAAATGAGAGAGACCTTGGCCCCTAGTGCCGAGCAAAACTTCTCCATACCGGGGAGATGAAATGCGGGCCGCGGTCAGACAGAATGTCCAGAGGTAATTGAAAAACATGCTTAATGAGCAGCTGGGCTGTTTGCAAAGCTGTAGGGAGTTTTCTCAGAGAGATTAGATTACAGGCCTTGGAGAAACTGTCAATGATGGTGAGGATTGTAGTCATACCTTTGGAAGTGGGGAGACCAGAGATGAAGTCGATGGCAATGTGTGACCAGGGTCGCTTGGGGATGGGTAAAGGTTGAAGCAGTCCAGAAGTAGGTTGATGAGAGGGTTTGTTGCGAGCGCAGGTCAGGCAGGCTAAAACAAACTCATTCACATCCTTCAGCAAGGAGGGCCACCAAATGCGCCGACTGATGTGGGCTACAGTCCGACTGATCCCTGGATGGGCAGAAAGCTTAGAAAAATGGATCCAATTAATTACACGAACTCAGATGGAGGGGAAAACTGCCTAGAAAGGGCATCCGGTTTTACGTTCCGAGAGCCAGGGCGAAAAGAAATACAGAGGTTGAATCGAGAGAAAAACAATGACCATCAGGATTGGCGGGGGTTGAGTCTTTTGGCGGATTGGATATAGGAGAGATTTTTGTGATCTGTCCAAACCTGAACCGGATGTGCAGCTCCCTCAAAGCCAGTGTCTCCATCCCTCCAGAGCCAACTTAATGGCTAAAAGTTCACAATCCCCAACATCCTAATTTCTCTCCGCGGGGGTTAGTCTGCGAGAGAAAAAGGCACAGGGGTGTAATTTCTTGTCGGTACCAGAAACTTGGGAGAGAACAGCTTCAATTCCAGAATCCGAGGTGTCTACCTCCACCACAAACTGTCTGGAGAGATCTGGCTGAGTGAGAACAGGAGCAGTGGCGAAAAGTTTCTTGAGACGAGAAAAGGCAGCTTCAGCCTCAGAGGACCAAACAAAGGGAATCTTGGAAGAGGTAAGGGCTGTCAGAGGAAGAGCAGTTTGGCTGTAGTTGCAGATAAACCTGCGATAGAAATTGGCAACACCCAGGCTGCTTGCAAGTCTCAGCTGTAGGCCAGTCCAAACAGCCTTAATTTTTTCCTTAGTGTGTCTTACCTGTCCACCCTCAAGGATAAATCCAAGAAAGGAAACTGATGGTCTGTGGAATTCACATTTCTCAGCCTTGACAAATAGTTTGTTCTCGAGCAAATGTTAAAGGACCTGGCGGACATGGATCTTGTGCTCAGAAAGGTTCTTGGAAAAAATGAGGATATCATCAATATAAACAAAGACAAAAATGTACAGAAAATCTCTCAGAACATCGTTGACCAAGGCCTGGAAGCAAGCGGGACCCCTTTTATATAATTACATTTGCTTTTATTTGGTCATGCTCCTGGTGGTTGGCAGCTTTATTCCACTCCGTATTCTCATGAGTGTAGTCTTTGCTCAGTTTACAATAATAAAAAACAAAACTTTGATTCAGGAAGTCAAACGTTACCAGGGTTGTTCCTCACTTGTCTGAGGTCAATACCAAATGGATCTGGATGCTTTAGTTCTGCACCGTTTCCGCCTTTTAGGAAATAATGTGAAGTCCATCAACCACAAACTTCGATTTCAGTTTTTTAACAGACAGCCACCCTTACGTCAGAGCAAAATTATTTAGTTAATCTCATGGTATTTCTGGGATCTAGCCTGTTGCAGTTTAACTTCAATGTCTTTACTTCTAATCCTCAATAGACCTGTACTTATTCTAGTTGCCCATCAGATGGCAATCTCTAACCTTTGAAATCATCATCCAACCTTTAACATAGACAACATCATTTCTGCTACTTTCACTTTCATTTAGAAACAGGTTTTGTTAGAACAGACAAGCAGAAAGTCGACAGAGTGAAGCTGATGAAATTGCCGCTTCAGCTGATATTTCCAACTCAGGTCAGAGATCTTTTTATAAAATTTTCCATCACACTTTATCCTCTTTGGATTATAATCTGGTAAACTGTTATATTAATGGAAAACAGTGTTGCATTAAGAGACTTTAACACTTTTAACTACTACTACTACTAAACACTACTTTAAACAACACTTGAGAGTCAAAATGGCTCTGTCTGCTTTCTTAGATTTTCTTTTGATATTAGGTTTTTCATTTTTGATAATTATTTTTATCATTAATCTAGTATAAATGCATGTTTAAATTACAAAGTATCTTCTCTGATTGGCTGATTAAAGTTTATGTTTGTAAACTATATGATAAAATGAAGCCTTACTTCCTTTAGCAGCATCCAGCCGCCCCGCTACAGAACTAAGGATTGTGTTGATAGGAGGAAGATATGATGACCCCTCCAGTGGTAAAAGCTCAGCTGGAAACATCATCCTGGGTCACAATGTTTTTGATACCAGCAGAAGAACAGCTCGGAGTGAAGCAAAGCAGCAGGAAGTACTCGGCAGACGACTTACAGTGGTTGATACTCCAGGATGGTGGTGGACTTTTCCTATAGAAGAAACCCCAAAACTGGATCAGATAGAAATCCAAAATAGTGTCCATCTGTGTCCCCCAGGACCTCATGTCTTTCTTCTGGTCATTCCTGTTTGTTCATATTTATCCCACCTTGTAAAACTATCTCTAGAGGACCATCTGGAACTTTTCAAAGCAGATGTTTTCAGTCATACCATCGTGCTGTTCACTGCAGTCGATCCATGTAGTGATGAAACCATTGAATCCAAAATCAGAAGAAGTTCATCCCTGCAGTGGATCCTTCAACAATGTGGAAACAGAAAACATGTTCTCAACATCAGCAACAGAGAAGATAGAGATCAGGTCAAGATGCTTTTAGAGAAAATTGAGGCGATGATTGAACAGAACAGGGGGAGATACTGTTCTATTGAGAAATCTCATGGAAATGCTCATAGAGAGAGACTGAAAGATTTGGCTAAAAAAGCCTCAAAAAGGTTTGATGAAGTTCAGAAACAAAGAAGAAACCTGAAGCTACAGATTGAAGGTAATTCAACTTTCTTTCCTCATTCTTCAATGGTTCTACAGACGTCTCTGGGAGCTCACATATTATTTATCCCTTCCAGAAAAAGTTTTTTTTTTTTTTTTTGCTGGTAAAATAAAATAGACAGAGATGTTTTGCCTTTACAAATGTTGTATTTTTTTAGGCATTGTCAACCCCAGTCTAAATAGACCTGAACTGCAAACTTAAAAAAAATATATGTTTTCATTTAGGTGGAAAAGTCCCTCCAAACCATTTAAGAATATTGATGGTTGGTAATTCATATGCTGGAAAGAGCTCAACAGGAAACATCATTCTAGGAAAATATGCATTTGGAATTAATGAAAGTGTTGGAAGAAAGACAACACGCAGTGAAATAAGCCATGGTGTGGTTGAAGGAAGGCGGGTCACAGTGGTGGATTCTCCTGGATGGTTCTGCATCCATACCCTTCAGGACACCAGTGAGATGGACAAACTGGAAATAGAGAATGGTGTGAATCTCTGTCCTCCAGGACCACATGCTGTGCTTCTGGTTATTGATCTGGCAGTCAATGCTGATGCATCATATCTGATATCTATCCAGGAACAGATGAGTCTGTTTAGAGAAGAAATCTGGAAACACACACTGGTTCTGTTTACCTATGGTGACTGGTTAGGAGTGAAGACTGTGGAGGAGTATATAGAGAGTGATAAAGGTCTGCAGTGGATAGTGAACAAGTGTGGGAACAGCTATCATGTTCTGAACAACAAGGACCGCAGTGATAAGGCTCAGGTAAAGGAGCTCATTGAGAAGATTGAAGAGATGTGGGCAAAAAATGAAGATCCTCATTATGAAGTGGACCTGGACCGAGCAGCACAGATAGAAGCCAAGATGGAGGCTGGAGACAAGGAAGCCAAAAGGTTGAAGAAGATCAACGACAGACAGTCAAGAGTCCTGAAAGAGGTTTATGAAGGTAAACAAGTTTTATAAAAGTTTATGACATAATCCTGTAACATTAAAGTTTCACGATTAGAACCTATTTGGTTTTTCTGTTTGTTTTCTAGCTGAGAGATATCCAGTCACTGACATCAGGATTGTTCTGGTTGGACAGAAATGTTCAGGAAAGAGTTCAGCAGGAAATCTGATCCTTTTCAAGGAGAAATTTAACATGACCTTTGATAGAGCTTCTTTGGAAAAGGTGAACCATCAAGTTGATTAAGAAAAAACATTTCATACATTCAAACATCCAGACTGGATGTTTACCTGAGTTCAGCACATCCAGAAATGTTGTTTTTTCTTTTCAGAACTATGAAGATAAGAGAACATTGGCAACATGTGAGAAACATGAAGGAAACTTTTATGGAGTAAATGTGTCAGTGGTTGAAACACCAGGCTGGTTCACAGACTCAACACCAGCTGACTGGATCAAAGATGAAATTCTCCACAGTGTCTCCATGTTTTCTCCTGGACCTCATGTTTTTCTCCTGGTTGTACCAATCTTCAAAGCTTTAACTGAGAAAGATCTAATGGCTCTGGTGGAGGTCCTAATGCCATTAACAGAGAGAGTGTGGAGACACTGCATGGTGCTGTTTACCAGGGGAGACTGGCTCAATGGCCTCCCTGCAGAAAACTACATAATCCAAGAGGGCAAGGAGCTCCAGGAGCTTCTGGAGAAGTGTGGGAACAGATACCATGTTCTCAATAGCTTTGATTATAATGATCCTGTTCAAGTCAAAGAGCTGTTCCAAAAAATTATCAACATAGTAAAACAAAACAAAGGATGCTTCACAACAGAAGAAGGAGAACCTCAGCAAGAAAGACAATGCATGATGGAAGAGGAGTGGAAGAGACGGGAGCAGGAGCTGATGGAGAGAGTGATGAAAGCTTTAGCAAAGGAACCAGAGAAACCAACAGTGCCCTCTGTGGAGGTGGCACAAAGCAAGGATGAAGGATTCATTCCAGACAGTAAGTTTAACATCACGAATAATTAACCACTGAGTTTCCACAAACTTTTGGCTCCTTCAATGTTTTTTTTAGAATAACATTTTTTTTTTCTTCTGTTTCAGTGAGTGGAGATGATGCCTCAGAATATGGGAGCATTTCAGAGATTAAGAATCAACAAGCTCATAACAACGTTGCTGAATGGCTGGCTAAGAGAGTGAGACCATCTGAGATCAGCTCTGGAATGGGCAGCATTTGTTCCACAGCCAGTGATATTGGGAAACATGATGAAGCTATTCAATAGATTAAAATCATCCAAAGATGAGTTAATTCTAAGAAAATTCTCTGAAGATTTTCTCCAATCCTTTAATTAAACACAGGGACTATTGTTCAGCCAAAAAGCTACAGCAGAAACTTAACGGAAGCTAAAGGAGCAGACAGGATGCAATATTAAATTATCCCAGCTTGGTACTACATAGGACCAGGGCTTCAGATAGCGTTTTTGAACTGGGTGGATATGTCAATGAAAGATTTCAACACAACTTTGGCTATATTCCCATTGCAGGGAAATGCAACCAATATAAGGCTTTTTGTGTGTGATTCTGATCTTTTCATGTCCCCAAAAATCACGTTGTACCTCTTAAACCACCAAGTCTTAGAAATAATCATTCCTAATCAATGATTTCAAAAAAGGGAAAATGTCGCCCTTTCCATCCATGTGTTTTCAGCACCACAGATGTGTGAGCAGCAGCAATTAGAGGCTTCTAAAAAGTCGAACAGTGTAAGACACAGGCCATCATGGTATAGCTTAATTTACAACACTTCTTTAGATTAATTTCTACCATTATAGCTGTAGAAAAAAAGGATGACCTTTAACCACACAAGGACACCTAATGCTCCACTGTCAGTGCAGTCCAGAGAGGGTCAATTGCAATGCCCGTCCTCGCAACACATTACTCTGAGCATTCCACCTGTCATTATCAGCCTGGTGTTTAATTTGGAAAAGTTCAATGTAAAGACTTTTTCCCACTGTGTAGATCTGTTTAAAATTTCATTCCACAGTTTGCAGCGCACAGACAAATACCCATGCAATCCTCTTTGTGTCATTATTGGTTTAAGCGATCTGACCCACATGCAGAGAACCACTCAGAGACCAAGGGAAAAAGTTTAACAGGTTTATCGAATGTTGATGAAACACAGAAGTAGGAGCTGGAATTCAGTGGACTGGTGAACCGGAACTGGAAAGTCTGAAGGAGAAGTCACAGTGATCTGTTCAGGGACCGTAGGAAAATTGACTGAGGCTTGAATATAGCTGGAGAGAAACTCATGTTTGAGGGGGCTCTTGTTAATCCTTGAATCCAGTTTGTGGAAATGAATCCACAGGAGAGGGAACTCGTTGGAGAGCGGACAGGTAGACATACGTTGGACCCAGAGGAGTAAAGGAGTGGAATGTCAGTTTTTTTTTCCGATGAGGACTTGAACGGATCATGTGGAGGTTTACCCCTGCTCAGTGTGTACTCAGTAATCCTTCCAGGGGGACAAGGTCAAGATTATCCAGTTACACAGGAAAGGCTTCCTGCCAAAGAGCAAAGACAAAAACAAGATTAGACTCAGAGAAACAAAGCTTTGATTAGACTCTGCTAATCTCAGCTTGGCTAGAGTACCCAAAACTGGCAAACACTCTGCCATCGAGGTAGTGACAGCCCACTGCTCAAATACTCCTCCGGTAATGATCCAACGAGCCGCAAGTGTGCAGGGAGGCCCAACGAGGAACAGGTCACCACCTGGTGGTGGAGAGAGAAAAACACAAAAACAACCCACACAAACCGGATTCCTACACTGAAAAAAAAATAGAGGTTGACAGAACTTACATTTTCTAGGCAACGTGATGCATTTGGTTTTTTGAGTTTTCCTTACTTAAATTCACTGTGGTTGAGTTTACAAAGATTTTTGAGTTCTGCCAACTTAGGTTTTTGGAGTGTTACATAGAAATTTTGAGTTCTACCAACTTAGGTTTTTGAGTTTCACCTTTAAGTTCTGAGTTCTATCAACTTTGTTTTATGAGTTTGACATATAGATTTTGAGTTCTACAAACTCAGATTTTGTAGTGTTATCTGCAAGTTGAGTTCTATCAACTCAGTTTTTTTAGTCCTACCAATCGTCTTCACTACCAATCATTCAACACACAAAAAATTATGTTAATACAACATTTTTATTGCTTCAAGCCAAACATTGCATCAATAGATACAGTATAAAACCATGTTCAACAACATAATCTTAACTGCACAGATCAAAGTAACCTGACACTGGACCAGAATGTTCTAGATTCGTAAGAGTGATGATGAGGGAAAAAACAGTAAGACACCATTTTAGTAAGAGGAAAACACACAGGTAATTTTTTGTGAAGTAAGTGTATTAACATATATGAAAAAATAACAGTTTTACAAATTTGGACGGCCTTCAGTTAGTTTTTTTCAATTGTAGTCTCTTTAAATTGGGTGCACCCTTTTAAAAAAAATAAAATGAAATAAAATGTCTTGTTTCCCAACGGAAAAAGAAAAAGGTTTTCCCTTTTTATCTCTGAGTTTTTCTTTTTAGTCCTACCACTCCGACAGGACGATGAATGCAAAAAAAGAAAGTCCTCTTCAGTCCAAATCCTTCTCTTCAGTCCAAATCCAGATGTTCACACGGTTGGCTCGCCATCTCCATTTAAGGAGAGAATCCAGAATCCAGGGTATCCAAAAAACCCAGCCTGCATAGCACAACAGAGCTTAGTTAAATCCATTCACTTCTTGTTCTTAACTGCACAGTTTATATCTCTCCAAGTATGATAAATTTCAGTGTGTAATGTAACTTTTCTAACTCATTACGAATTAACTGCTGCATTACAGGGTTAACATATAAAATGTTAATGTCACTGTTTTTCTTGTAAAGCAAATAAAATCATGAAAGCAAAAAATCCACATGTAAATAATGTAAATAACAGTAAATACCCACATCGGATTAAGAAAGTAAAATAATGTAGTCTTGTAATATTCTGTGCCTGAGTGCAACAACACTGCACTACATGAAACAATTTAGAAATTTAATAAGTTATTACACTCAACTTAATGTCTCTTTTCATTTGTACAATGAAAATAACAGGCACACTCTTTTCTCTATGCATAAACACTCACCCGCACATGCGCGGCATAAACACGCACGCGCACACGCGCATTATAAACGCGCACGTGCGCTGCTTTTCCTTTCATCAGAACGTGAAAAACATGTGAACTCATGCTTCAACTCGGTGGCAATACACCACAAGGGAATGCTAACTCACGGAGCTAACCGCTAACTGTCTGTACTTTGCAGCACTCACCGGGAAAACTGGTAAGGTCCCAGGGTCGTTCCTCCGTGGTTCTCCAGATGCATAAATCACAATGTCCGCCAATCTTCTCAAACACGAGGGAAAAAGGCTGTGCCCTTGAAGAAAGGGATAGGAAACCCCGTACCGTAGTGGGCGTGTCCATGAACATAAGCAGTGCGCATGCCCATGAGTTTACAGTTGAGGGAACTCAAAAAATCTTGTATAGGCGATTTAAAACTCCTTGTTAAACCAACTTCTGAGAATTTGAGTTGGGCAAACGTGTATTTATTTGTTAGATGTCAAATTTATATTTCTGAGTCGGATTACAATACAATTGTGTGTTAGAACAACAATTGCCATTTACTTTTTTAACATTGTAACACTTTGTGGACAAACAAGTTTACCATATTCATTAGTGCTATGATAGTATTTGGGGGGTTCAGGCTATTTATTTAATTTCAAAGAGAGAATTTCCTTTTGCATATGATTATTAGCTATCTACATGCACCGACATTCAGTATGTCTGCATGTAGCTAAAGTTGTGTTATGTTAGCGGTATATTCAGAAAACTAATCATCAGCTTATAATATGTATATTTACCTCTGTATGATGTTTCCTATTTTTATAACGGTTTGTTGTCGACCAAACGTTCAGTAACGATAGTGATACCACTAGAAGTCCCGGAGAATTCCAGTTTTCCTGCAAGCCCTCCTCCCCACTTCAAGTTTGTGTATTCACTCTACCTTGCTAACTATCCCTATTGTGATGCAAATAACCTGTAATATGACCAGCACTTCTACATGAGACTGGATAAAGGCTGAAACAAACTTGCATCAGAACAAGAGCATGCTCCAAACACTTTTCATTACTGCCCGTGCGACATCAGACCTTTTTGTAGGAATGTTGCAGAGATTGCATCACCTGGCCTGCTTATAATTACAATGAAAAAATCTCAAAAATAGAGTTTAGCACATATTCCGAAAGTAAGAGGTGTAGTCTGAACTAGATGAGGTTATCTATGCGTGCTACAAGTTTGGTGTCACTACAATAATCTATAGTGTAATTATTGGGTATTATATGCTTATAATAACGATGAAAAAATCTCCAAAAATACAGTTTAGCCTATCTTCCCAAAATAAAAAAAAAAGAATGTTAGAACTGTAAATATACAGTCATATGTTGATATTACTATTTTTTAATGTATTTATTACTGTTTTCAAGGCTGCACTTTAAAATATGAAATTGTCTAAACGAATTTTACTTTTGTTTACACTTGTGTATATAAAATAACAAAATAAATCTGTCTAAGTCACAAATAATTATTGGCTTTTACATACTTATAATAATAGTGAAAAATCTAAAAAATAAATAGAGTTTAGCACATTTTCCCAAAGTAAAAGCTGTAGTTTGAACTAGATGGGGTTATCTGTGTATCCTACAAGTTTGGAGGCACTACAATTACCTATAGTGTAATTAGTGCAGAAAATCCCTAAGCCTTTGAGCTCTGCATAGGGTTCAACATAATTTTCCCAGCGCAATAGGAGACTCGTTTTGAGGAAACTACGGTTGTAGCTTACTATCTGCCTTGCTGTGGTTGTGGAGAGGTGACTATTTTATAGAATAAATCGTCCGCCGACGAGTTCTTAATCCGGAAAAGACGAATCTGTGAATATATTGCCAAATTTACTGCAGTCACACGATGCTGTCTGCATGTCTGCAGCGGAGGAGAGAGAGGAGAGATTGCTTGAGTTATATTTGCCCTGTAGTACATGGGGCAGATCATGGCCATTATTTTTATAAATATTGTTGCTTTCTTCAGCGTTCCAGCTCATGCAGCTATTTTCATTGTACAGATCAGTTATCGTCTGATTGCTGCGCTGAAATCATTGCGGTGTTGGCGAATCTGATGACCTAGACCTAGTTATATTTAATTAAAAATATGATTCCCCCCCCTG